AAATCTGTCCTTGTTCCTGAAAAAAATCTCGAAGTATTTTTTTAGAAATATCATGTTTCAGATTGTGCTTTTATAGCACTAAATAATTTGGTGAAACATGATATATATATCATATTTTCGATCTGGGTGTATGTTCTCTGTATTTTTACAGTCTCGCCTGCCATCATTTATGTATATAATGTTTGTTTATTGTCCTCTCATACACTCAATGTGTCTGAGGTTAAATAAAGAATTTTGAACTTTTAATTTCGATAAGACCTCGGGTTCATTAATCGATGTACATGTAAGATAGCAATGATGATTCTTGGAAGATAATCTCATTCGGTGGTTTTGGAGACGTTGCGAATGAAAAGTATATCTATGCAAAATGGATGTATTTATCAAAGTTGTACAAAAATCGAACATGTAAAAATGTTGTTAATTTATCGTTGACACGTGTTTGGTTATTTATAGTAAGGTCGGTTCCATTTGGATATTGAGTTCATGCACGAGTGAATTAAGTTGGTTTCAATTCATTAGAGCCATTGCAGTCAAAGTGTACAGTACCAGCTGCTTAATTTCGGTGTATTTACACGAACTTTCCACATTATAATACTCATAATAAAAAGAGCGCTGGTCTCTGCAAGTGGTGTCTCCCATGTGAGTTTGTGGTTATTTGATAAATATTTTATGTTCGTTTGAGTTTACGAATTAGAATTTAAGATTAAAAACACGCGCATTACGCAATTGGATTGAAAAGGCATAAACAAATAATTATAATTTTGACAGAAGTTCTGTTTTGGAACCCATTTTCAACCCCTAAAACCGAACAAACGTTGTAAAAACAGAAAATTGAAAGAGGCATAAAACTGACCTTTGAAAAGAATCTGAATACACTAATTTTAAAATCCTTTGCAATGAATGGCTAGATATGTCTTATTTTCGATGCAAAATATAGTTAGCATGCATTTTGTGTCCAGGATACACGTATATGTATGGGGTAAACAAATTAGTACAAATCTAGACACCGCGATAAATTTATATATAAATAGTGGACACATGTGGACTCGAATCTATTTCCATATATTATTAAGAATTAAAGAAACAAAGGATACAGGCGGAAACAAATGGACACAAGGTTATTTCTATATAAGAATTATAGAAACTGGAGGCTACAAGGTTTATTTTTGTGGTTCAAAGAACAATGACCCCTATTTGGGACATACAAAAAGGTGCAATAAAAATATTCTGACCTGTGAAGAGTATTACGATATTAACAAACCGCCCACAAAACGTAGTAAAAATCATCCGAAAAGGGTCGCAATTACTTAAATAAGAAATCGCCAAGACAACTTCAGCCATTTTGACTTTTCTATTTGTAGATCTTGCTAGTATTTTCTGCTTTTAAAGTTTCTATTTATTTTAGTTTTCAAGATAAAATGCAAAAATGAAGATTTTCTCTATTTATTAAGAGTTTTCAAGATAAAACAGATCTGCATTTGACACCTATGTTCTATTGTAAGCCATGTCTACCATGTTGGTTGGAAAGCACTCAACTAGATACCCAAATGAATAGTTTGGTCAATTTTGGTTAAATTTGGCCTTACAGTTTCAGAGATTTTTTTTGCTAAAATTAACAACGACGCACAGTGATAAGAATAAATAAATAAGGTAACTAAGGGGCAATCGTGTACTGTCAATGTCAAAACCATTTATGTGGACATTGCCTTGTACTCGATGATCAATGAAACTGAACAAATTTCTAAGGATTGGATCAAGTGGTACTATAATCACCATCCAGAATACAAAGAAATGTAGTTTTTAAGCAATTCCAAAGCAGGTCTTTTGAACGATAAATGTCAAAACCATATCAAAAGCAAATTAGACATGTGTTTATTTCAAAAGATGTGAGCATGCAGTATTATCATAAAAAAGATGAAACCCATAATACAGGTGTAATACCACCAAATTATAGTACGTCACATCAGACGTCATATCCGGTTGCATACGAAGAAGGTTCGAAAAAAATATCCCCTTGAATTTGCCAGTTGAAGAAAATTTATCCAACATTTCATTGCAGTAAAAAAAAAAATCCGAGTCATAAACATAGCTTGGGTGTTTCAAAGCACCATTCTTTTTTTATTAGCTCACCTGGCCTAAAAGGCCAAGTCAGTTTTTCTCATCACTTGGCGTCCGTCGTCTGTCATCATAACTTTTTACATTTTGAACTTCTAAGGATCATTAATTGGAATGAAACCAAATATTGCATGAATATTCCTTATGAGGTTATGACCAAGTGTTGTTACTTTGTAGCTGATCCATCATCCAAGATGGCCGCCAGTGGGGGACTTCGTTTAACATAGGACCATATGGACTACAAATGTTTTCTTTTAGAGAAACACTGAATGGAATGAAACCAAACATGACATGAATGTTCCTAATGAGGCGCTGACCAAGTGTTGTTACTTTGTAGTCAATCAATCATCCAAGATATTTTCCAGCGGGGAACTTAGTTTAACAAAGGACCCTATGTGAAATACATACAAAAGTCTTCTTTTGAAGAACCACTGAATGTAATGAAACCAAACATGGCATGAATGTTCCTTATGAGGTGCTGACCAAGTGTTACTTTATAGCAAATCCATCAACCAAGATGGCTGCAAATGTGCGACTTGATACTTTGTTGCCGATTAACTGTTCAAGATGGCCACTATGATTTTTGTTAAATTACGGGGCCAATATTAAACCAAACTTGGTCTCAATTATTTTTAGGGTATCTGTTATGATTTTAATCTATATTTACATCATTTCCACAACCAAAGTAGAACCAGGTGAGCGACACAGGATCGTCAGAGCCTCTGGTTTGGTGTTTCTATAGAATATTTAGGAAACTTGAGGTTACATGGTTACAAAAGCTTGTACACAGGAAAAAAGGGGAGAACATTTGATTGGTGAACTTCCAGTGATGGTAATCATCGTATATGCAATGACATGTTATTTGAAATTTTGTCTGTAGCCATACAGTTAGAAAGAATAAAACTTGACTAAAGCCAAGTATTTCTTTATTTGGAACAAAGATAAATTTTTAGAAGAGTGCAAATTTAATAAAGACTAATGGGGGAAAACAATGGTAATATTACACCTCTAAAGGTAACTACGACAAAATCGAACTTGACCTACATTTTATTGTTGTCCATGACATTAGGCAAATTGTAATTAATCAGAGTGGAAAGCAAACTTGAGACAGGACAAAGGGATGGATGGACATATGCATCACCATGGAAGTGGTTGATGAGCTGTAACATAGGTTTTGTCAAAAAAAATTCATTTACGAATCTTTCCAAATATTTAGGCTTAAACAAAACAAATAATATATTCATATTGCCGATAATCTGGACATCGGATTTTATCTTCATTAAAACAATAAACATGCAAACAAGGATAAGCATAAATTCATAAAGAAAATCGTAGCAATTATAATTGATGAAATGCTCTTGCATTTTATTTTATGAGAAATATCAAATAATGGCAAAAATTCTATCATCGACGACCCCGCTGACATGGAACAACCAACTAAAAACTGAAAATGTAGTGGAGAAAAAATTGGAAAATTCCAATACCCAATGCTAGGAAGATTGTCTAAGGAGGTATACTTGAACAGTTTTAAAGAAATCCTTATTATTCAAAACAGACTGCTGGCTAGAAGTGTTAGCTTATAAATTATTTTTCAATGTTATTCCTTGAAACGTGGGGAAATTTAATCTAATGCATCATGATAAATACCAAAATGACACTTCCTAAACCTATCGTAACTACTTTTATGCCACTGTAGTACATCATCATAGTATTAGATGAAGACAGATCTGCATCATGAGTAAGATGTAATTAGAAAAAATATTATTGTACAAAATACATGAAAGTATTGTTGATTCATTTTAATTTCCTGGATACCAAATCTCAGTGTGTTTGTTATAAAAAAAAAACCTTGATAACTGAAAATGTCCAGTACGGCCCTGCTTGCACATTTTTGTGCGAGGCATACACAAATATTGATTGTAATACTAACAAACTCAATTCAATTAATTCAATGTTTTATGACTGTCTCCTCTCTCGACATTGTAAAACAATACTAAATAAAATGAGCCATTCTATACAGAATTATAAGACTATTAAAATGCATAGATATAATACATTAAACAATATGAAATAAAGTACTACATGTATTTACCATATATAAAATTTCAACGCCTTTTTAAATTCAAATAACAGGTTTTGGAACACACATGTATCATATTTACATCTGAGAATAACACATCTGAGAATAAAAACACTAACTTTTGGTTATCATCTAAAGTATTAAAATTTTCATTATAAGTTTCAGCAACATAATATAAATAAATGGTTTCTAAAATCTTCATAAAGAGGACATCTTAATAAAACATGTGCTTCGTCTTCAATAAAACTATAACATATATGGCACACGCTAAAACAATATTTTCATATTTCCCAGTTTAAATCCTTAGTGGAGCAACACCACATCTAAATTTGAGAAAAGCACTTCTGTGAATGAAATGCATTTTGACATTAAAAGTTTAACAACATAATTTGTGTCCATATTTTCAGGACACGATAAATGACTTGAATTCAGTTCAGAGAAGCTAGTTTTCCTTACTAAAAAGTTCCAGTTTTCAGCACACTTATGCTTAGTACTCATTCTATCAGCCCACTAATGAACTTTTGCATTTATCAGACTTGAGCTCATGTTATTTAATCTACACCACAAACAAATAATACCACCTATTTTTGATAAGCAGTGGAAAAGTATTAACTACATACTTGTGCCAAATATAAACAATGCAAACATAATCTTAGTTTGCCGACAGCCCGTCATGCTCGATGGACGCCAGATTGTATTATAAATATTCACAAATTCAATAAATCATTATTATTGCAATGTATATATAATTCAAAATCATACAATTCCTATGTATATATTATCCCATGGAAGTAAAATATAATACTTCCATGATTTTCCAAAATACACCAAAACCAACTTTTGACTAAATGCACCCCTTCATAGACAGTCAAGGCCGGCCAGGAACAACTAGAGATAAAAAACGATATAATCGATCAAAAAGCTCTAGAAACCTGTGTCAGTGGATGCCAAGTGCGCAATCCCGTCTCCAGGGTCAGGTGCTCTGACCTACACCTTAAAACGTGTGTATTGACAAATCAAAATGCAATATAAAATAAAATTATCAACGTATAATACAATAATACCCAAGTCTCCAGTAACTGCAGCATTTGGTGCATATTTTTCTACTTCTAGAAAATCTACAGGCCCCATTATGTATGGAATTTATACAAGAATATCTTTTTACACCCCATATACCTTTTCATATTCTATTATAGGACAAACCAAACTTTCATATAATTTTACAAATACATCGAAACAAACACCCCCTTAAAGTTTACACTTGGCTATTACCATCCTTAAAGTTCTATTTGCTGAAGATGCAACGGCTTTTGCAGTGATATTATAGTCTAAATGCTTGTTTAAAATGAGACCAAGTATCATTACTAGAAGACTTTATAGTATGACCATTACAATTAAAAATTACATCATATCTAGGTATAGATGGTGGTCTAAATTGTACAATGTCACTCTTGTTTGTATTAATTGTCATACAATTGTCTTCAAATCATGTAGAAAAAGCATTTACCAAAAGTTGTAGCTCTTTTTCATCGTTTGCTATAATAACATCATCAGCATATAATAAAATACAGTTTTTCATCACCAATATCTATTCCGCAGTCAAAGGACTTAAGAAATGTTACTCAATCATTAATATACAAGTTGAACAAAATGAGCGACAAGGGACATCCTTGTTTCAAGCCAGTGTTTACATCAAACCAGTCTGTGAAATGATCGTTTATTCTTACAGAACATTTGTATAAATTGACTTAATAGCAGAACAAAAAGTCTGTGCAACACCAATTTTATCTAGTTTATACCATAAAATATCTCTGTGTAGTGTCGTAAGCCTTTTTAAAATCAATATAAAGGCGCAAAAGATTGATTTAGGAAGTGTTTTTCTCACATTTATCAAATTAGTAAGAGTAGATAATTGGTCTATTGTACTACAAAGTTGTCATAAACCATTCTGTTCCTCAACCAGTACATTGTTATCATCTACCCACTGAGCTAATCTATAGTTCAGTATATTACAGTACAATTTGTAAGACACTGATGCAAGGGCGATCCCTCTATAACAAAGGGGGGTCTCTCGCGTCTGACATGTTAGATTTAGGAATATAATTCATAATACATTAATACTTTTAATAGGATATCAACAGGATCCATTAGACTATACTTAACGACACTATCTAATTAAGTGGATTAACCATGTTAGCTATCAGTGATTTTGCAGATCCATTTAACCAAATGTTTTAATGAAGCAGAAATTTATATTTGGAATTTTGTTTTCAAAGTTTTTCTAATTTTCAATTTCCATCCATCAAACTGTGTCAAATACAATTTAATTTTGATACAATAACTTTCCAAAATCGATTTAAAAATTATAAATTATAAAGTTTAAATATTATATATTCACAGTTCAAATGTTCATGCACTGATACTGTTTCTTTTTCAATGACAATAAAATACCAAATGTATATCATTTCAGAATTACATTGACAGTTCCCTTTGAATGACAGAACCATATCCTGAAGACATAGAAACCACTGATTCCTCCATAGAAAAAAACAAGAAACACCTCAATAAGAACTACCTCAGTAACTCCGAAACCCACTATGTTAAATGTTAGTGAAGATGATACCATGCAAGCAAAATGTACTTCTGAAATGATAATTTGATATTTGCTTAGTCCACAACAAAACTTTTAAGATATACATTAAAGGGTGCATAAACTAAACCATAAGTTAAAGTCAATTTTGTTTGTGCTAATTTGAATTTGATTTTTTTTTTAATTTTTAATTTAAATATATTTAACAAAACTGCATATACATTTTTGTTTTTATCTTACAAAAGCAATGATAGATATAACAGGAACAAGTATTTCACCAAACTGGGTGTTCTGATTTGGTTACTCAAAAGATGATGCAAAAAGGAAAATACAGAATATTTACAGACTATTCTAATTTATTCATATGTAGATATGGTAACTTGTCAAATTTGAAGATAGTTTCTATTTTAAGATCTTATTTAGAGCTGGCCTTAATTACAACCAACAATTGATCTTTTGGCTAGTATACAATGGAAGTTGCTGGCAAACCAAAACTATCTGATGTATATACATTTTGAACTTGAATTTCAAAAAATCTAAATAAAGTCATATTGTCCAAATTACTTAATAAAAAATTCAGGTAAATAAGTAAATATCTAAATTGACAATCTACTTTCTTTAATATGAATATTGAAAAAGAGGTTTACAATACATTTTTAATTATGATTGTTATATCATTGTAGACATATTGAGGGCACTTGGCAAATTCTCATCTGATATTTTGAACATTCAAGATTTTTTTAATCTTCATCTATAAACTATAATCTTATTTATTCTCTAAAGAATTAAACTGTCTCTTCACGATTCTCAATTTAACATCTTCTGCTGCCATGCTGCACCTTCTACTACTGAAACATCATAAAGGTTGAATCTGTAAAAAAAAAAACAATCAATTCAGAAATTAATGTGATGCATGTTTTATGTCAAATCCTAAATTGGAGACTAGTATACGTACAATTACTTTATATTCTTATTAAAAATACACCTCAGTACAGTAAATATTTGAAAATTTACTTCACTAGATTATAAATTTGAACAAAAGAAATATGTACACTAATTTGAAATAATATTTTATTTAAGCTGTTGTTCCCGAGAAAACTGATATTTATTACCCAACACATATAAACATAGTCTAAAGTACAATTGTAATGACTACCTACATGTTAAACATCCTAATGTGCATCTACCATGAAACCATATTCATTGGGTAGGAGTGGAACATATCTGGGCTGTATCTGTTTCAAAAGAAAAAATTTAAATTAGCATCAGCTTTAGAGAATATTTAATGGCTGTTAAGAAAATTAAAAAATTAATGTGATTCATGTTTTATGTCAAATCTTAAATTACGGACAATTAATTTACAATGACTCTTTCATTCTCATTAAAATATACCACATTCGAAATTCGAATAAAAGATATTTTAGACCAATCTGTAATAAAATTTTAAGCTATTGTTTCAGTGAAAACAGATTTTTATTGACTTCAAAATATTTACATAGTTTTAAGTACAATTGTAATGACCAAATACTTACATGTTGACTCTTCCTATCTGCCATGAATCCATCTTCTCTGTCTAGGAGTGCAACATATTTAGATGTATCTTTAACAAAAACTATAAATTAATATCAGCTTTAAATACAGACTATTTGCTGTTCCAATTTTTTCAGAATTTAATCTTTGCATGTTGGACAAGAATATTTATAATTACTATACATTCCATTAAGAATATATTTCATTAGAGTATAAATTTGAAGAAATTTTTTTGAGACCAATTTGTAATAAAGTTTCAAATTGGTTGATAATGAAATAGAGCCAGACAAAAAAACTAAATACATTTTACCATAAACACAAGTTATCATACTATGTAATCAGCTCTGCTGGGGGATCTGCTTTTACGAGATTAGCGCCCATTAAATTCATCAATGTTATATCAAAATCTAAAGTTTGCTCTCTGCAGAGGTCTGCTTTTACGAGACCCATTTTAACATAAAGCATCTTTTTGTCAAACTGTTCAGGAAAAAACGGATTTTTATTACCTAACAAACATAAACATAAGTTTTAAGAACAATTGTAATGACCAAATACCTACATGTGCAACATCCTAATGTGTGAAAGCATCTTTCATGGTATAGGAGTGTTACATATTAAGGCTGTATAATCTGTAACAAAAACAAAAATTATTAATTAGTTTACGCTTTAAATCCAGACTCTTTGCTATTGCAATCAATTCAGAAAATAATGTGATGCATGTTTTATGTTAAATCCCAAAATAGAGAAAAGTATATAATTACAATTACTATACGTTCTTATTAAAATATTCAGCATTAAGAGTATAAATTTGAATGAAAGAAATTTTAGACCAATTTGTTATAAAGCTTCAATCTGTTGTTTCAGGAAAAAACTGATTTTTATTACCTAACAAATATAAATATAGTTTGAAGGAAAATTGTAATGACCAAATACCTACATGTGACTTATCCTAATGTGCTATCTGCAATGGAAGCATCTTTCATGGTATAGGAGTCTTACATATTTAGGCTGTATCTGTAATGAAAACAAAAAAAATAAACATTAATTTCAGCTTTTAATCCAGACTATTTGCTGTTGCAATCAATTCAGAAATTAATGTGATGCATGTTGTAATGTCAAATCCTTTATTGGAGACAAGAATTTTTACAATCACTATACATTCTTATTAAAATATATCTCATTACAGTGAATATTTCAATAAATGTAATGTAGGACCAATTTGTAATAAAATTTCAAGCTGTTGTTCCAGGAAAAACTGATTTTTATTACCCAACAAATATAAACATACAGTCGACTCTCGTTATCTCGAAGTCAGCCGGACCAGAGAATTATTTCGAGATACACGTAGTTCGACTCAAACGAAAACCGGAAGTTTGACAGACCAAGGGACACAACTCTTGCTAATGGTAAAGCTAAAATAAATCCGGATGAATATGGGAAGGGGATCGATATTCTGGTATCAGATCGATGTATTTGTATGTCATGGTCTTTCATTATTATAATAACATTATTTTTACTTATTCAATTGTTTCAGTTACAATTTTTTCTTATGGCTTTTATCCGAGAGAGTAATTTCCAATCTATCTTAGCGTTATCTAGGTCGTTTAAAGTTGACAAAATTGTTTATTCTCGGATACAAGAGATTTTAGAAAATTTAGATTTCTCTTCATTTTGTTTCATCTCACTCTTTCTTTCCAAAAGAAAATACAACAAGATTAAAGACGCCGATTGAGTAGTTTTTAGGTGATCATCAACGGAAGTCTTAATCCTCACTTTATACACACCCAAATTCATTAGTGTAAATCATGATTAATTGTTTTGTAAACATGTTAAATACTTTTTCATAAACATTAACAATGTATCACTAATTATTTATTAAAATTCTATAAAAAATATCTTAAGTAAACACTCGTGGAAATAGCATGTCATAAATCAATTACAGTGGTCAGTGACCGGAAATTTAATTACACGTGTATTGTCAGATTAACTCTTCAATCCATTTAAATCCCGGAGGTCATGTTTTGACTTATTTGTATTAGTTCGAGATAAATAATGAATTTTGAATGCTTTTGTTAACCTTGGGACCGTAAATTTAGTTCGACTCAACCGAAATTTCGACTCATCCGATTTCCACTCATCAGGAGTCGAAATACATACATTTATATGGAACAAAGTTCGGGACCACGTGAAAACTTCGACTCATCCGAAATTTCGAGTCAACCGAGTTCGAGACAACGAGAGTTAACTGTAGTTTTAAGAACAATTGTTATGAATAAAAACCTACATGTGACTAATCCTAATGTGCTATCTGCAATGGAAGCATCTTTCATGGTATAGGAGTCTTACATATTTAGGCAGTATCTGTAACAAAAACAAATATTTTAAATTAGTTTCAGCTTCAAAATCAAAGCTATTTGCTGTTGCAATCAATTCAGAAATTAATGTGATGCATGTTTTATGTCAAATCCTAAATTGGAGACGTATATTTACAATAACTATACATTCTTATTAAAATATACTTCATTAGGATATAAATAGGAATAAAAGAAATTTTAGACCAATTTGTTATAAAGCTTCAATCTGTTGTTTCAGTGAAAACTGATTTTAATGCCTAACAAATACTAGAGGCTCCAAGGAGCCTGTGTCGCTCACCTGATATTTTTATTTACAATTGATGCATGAAATAATGCAACCGTTATACATTTGCTTTAGTTTTCAGAGATACAAGTCAAAAACTGCATTTTCCCCCAAAGTTCTATTTTTAGCCATGTCTGACATGTTGGTTGGCAGGCAGGGTCATCCGACACATTTATTAAACTAGATACCCTAGTGATGATTGTGGCCAAGTTTGGTTAAATTTGTCTCAGTTGTTTCAGGAGAGAAGATTTTTGTAAAAGATTACAAAAATTTACGAATAATTGTTAAATTTGACTTTAAAGGGCAATAACTCCTTATGGGGTCAATTGACCATATTGGTCATGTTGACTTCTTTGTAGATCTGACTTTGCTGAACATAATGGCTGTTTACAGTTTATTTCCATCTATAATAATATTCAAGATAACAAAAAACTGCAAAATTTCCTTAAAATTACTAATTCAGGGGCAGCAACCCAACAAAGGGTTGTCTGATTCATCTGAAAATTTCAGGGCAGATAGATCTTAACCTGATGAACATTTTTACCCGTAGTCAGATTTGCTCTAAATGCTTTAGTTTCAGAGATATAAGCCAAAAACTGCATTTTACCCCTACGTTCTATTTTTAGCCATGTCGGCCATCTTGGTTGGCAGGCGGGGTCATCGGACACATTTTTAAAACTAGATACTAGACGGACGCCAAGTGATGAGAAAAGCTCACTTGGCCCTGTGGGCCAGGTGAGCTAATAAACCTAGTTTAAATAAAAAAATTGTAATGAATAAATACCTACATGTGAATAATCCTAATGTGCTATCTACAATGAAACCATTTTCATTGTCGAAGAGTGTAACATATTTAGGCGTTATCTGTAACAAAAACAAAAATTGTAAATTAGTATCAGCTTTAAATAGGGAATATTTGATGTTGCAATCAATTCAGAAATTAATGTGATGCATGTTTTATGTCAAATCCTAAATTGGAGACTAAAATATTTACAATTACTTATTACAGTAAATATTTGAATAAAAGAAATGTTCGACAAATTTGTAATAAAATTTTAAACTGTTGTTCAACGGGAAAACTGATTTTTGTTACCCAACACATATAAAAAGAGTTAAAAGTACAATTATAATGACCAAATACCTACATGATACAAATCTTCGTGTGCTGTATACCATGAAAGCATCTTCATTGTCTAGGAGGGTAACATATCTAGTCTGTATCTGTTACAAAAACAAAAACTCTAAATCAGTATCAGCTTTAAATAGAGAATATTGGTTGTTGCAATTAATTCAAAATTAATATGATGCATTTTTGATGAAAAATCCTAATCTGAAGAGAAGTATATAAACAATTTCTATACATTATCATTAAAATAATCTTCATAAGAGTATAAATTTGAATTGAAGAAATTTTAAATCAATTTGTAATCAAATCTAATTTAAGCTTCCAGGGAAAACTTATGTTTGTTACCTGCCAACCATATAAACATAGTTTAAAGTACAATTAAAAATACCAAATACCTACATGCTACGTATCCAGATGTGTGATCAATCTACCATGAAACCATCTTCATTGTCTAGGAGTGTAACATATTTCGGCTGTATCTATAACAAAACCAAATCATCAATTAGTATCAGCTTCAAATAGAGACTATTGGCTGTTGCAACAATTATAAAATAAATGTCACTCATATTTTATGTCAAATCCTAAATTGGACACAAGAATATTTAAAATTACTACACATTCATGTTAAAATTTACTTCACTAGATTATAAATTTGATCAAAAGAAATATGTACACTAATTTGAAATAATATTTTATTTCAGCTGTTGTTCCAGGTAAAACTGATATTTATTACCCAACACATATAAACATAGTCTAAAGTACAATTGTAATGACTACCTACATGTTAAACATCCTAATGTGCATCTACCATGAAACCATATTCATTTGGTAGGAGTGGAACATATCTGGGCTGTATCTGTTTCAAAAGAAAAAATTTAAATTAGCATCAGCTCAAGGAGAATATTTAAAGGCTGTTAAAAAAATTCAAAAATTAATGTGATTCATGTTTTATGTCAAATCTTAAATTACGGACAATTAATTTACAATTACTTATTCATTCTTATTAAAATATACCACATTTGAAATTCGAATAAAAGATATTTTAGACCAATCTGTAATAAAATTTTAAGCTATTGTTTCAGTGAAAACAGATTTTTATTGACTTCCAAATATTAACATAGTTTTAAGTACAATTGTAATGACCAAATACTTACATGTTGACTCTTCCTATCTGCCATGAATCCATCTTCTCTGTCTAGGAGTGCAACATATTTAGATGTATCTTTAACAAAAACTATAAATTAATATCAGCTTTAAATACAGACTATTTGCTGTTGCAATTTTTTCAGAATTTAATCTTTGCATGTTGGACAAGAATAATTATAATTACTATACATTCCATTAAGAATATATTTCATTAGAGTATAAATTTGAAGAAATTTTTTTGAGACCAATTTGTAATAAAGTTTCAAATTGGTTGATAATGAAATAGAGCCAGACAAAAAAACTAAATACATTTTACCATAAACACAAGTTATCATACTATGTAATCAGCTCTGCTGGGGGATCTGCTTTTACGAGATTAGCGCCCATTAAAATTCATCAATGTTATATCAAAATCTAAAGTTTGCTCTCTGCAGAGGTCTGCTTTTACGAGACCCATTTTAACATAAAGCATCTTTTTGTCAAACTGTTCAGGAAAAAAAGGATTTTTATTACCTAACAAACATAAACATAAGTTTTAAGAACAATTGTAATGACCAAATACCTACATGTGCAACATCCTAATGTGTGAAAGCATCTTTCATGGTATAGGAGTGTTACATATTAAGGCTGTATAATCTGTAACAAAAACAAAAATTATTAATTAGTTTACGCTTTAAATCCAGACTCTTTGCTGTTGCAATCAATTCAGAAAATAATGTGATGCATGTTTTATGTTAAATCCCAAAATAGAGAAAAGTATATAATTACAATTACTATACGTTCTTATTAAAATATTCAGCATTAAGAGTATAAATTTGAATGAAAGAAATTTTAGACCAATTTGTTATAAAGCTTCAATCTGTTGTTTCAGGAAAAAACTGATTTTTATTACCTAACAAATATAAATATAGTTTGAAGGAAAATTGTAATGACCAAATACCTACATGTGACTTATCCTAATGTGCATCTGCAATGGAAGCATCTTTCATGGTATAGGAGTCTTACATATTTAGGCTGTATCTGTAATGAAAACAAAAAAAATAAACATTAATTTCAGCTTTTAATCCAGACTATTTGCTGTTGCAATCAATTCAGAAATTAATGT